CGTTTCTGCTGTTACTGCACAGCCAGATGCAGAGCACCCCATCCCTTACTCTGGCAAAGTTCCTATGCCCAAAACCATTCCCATGATGGATTTTAGAGGGGGGTGTTTGCTATTCTTGCTTTGAGTTGGGTTTTACTGGAGTTTTACTTTAACATGTATGATGGACAGGGAAGTTTGCCTGCACCTTTCCAGGCAGAAGCACCACAATCAGCAGAGGGTCATGTTAACTTTCTCAAATATTACTTTTTATTACCTTCCCCTCAGAACCCTGGGTTCCCCCTCCCCTTAGTGTGTCATACAGAATTAGATAATATAGGATCTTATAACAGTTTGGAAATTACAAAACAATTCTATTTACTACATACCAGACTGCTAGAAGAGATTAAAGAAAACGTCTTTTCAGGTTCATTAACATATGTATATCTGAACAGACTTAGATGTAGAATAATAAATGCCATTTTGAAGAACAGTAACTGCTTGTTAGAAAAAGAGACATTTTTAAGGTTTAAAACAGCAAAAGCAGAAATTTGTCTATAGCAACAGTAAGGCTCAGAGAGGAAACAGCAACAGAACAGAAATGAAAACAAACATCACACAGAAAACAAACAAAACTGTGTTTCCCCACTAAATCTTTTCCAGTCAGTGACTGTGAATTCAGACCTTCCCATAGATGGTAAAACACAGCAATAGTTACAGGTGGCTTCTAAGGGAGGCTGCTGAAACCTTGGGTCTTTAAAATGTCACAAAACAGAGAATCCTCAGAGTAGGAAGTAAAAAGCCTTAAATTTCAGTTCCAGGATATACAGAAACTCAATTTATGTCTGTTTTTATCACAAAAAATCAGATTTTACACACTGTCAGTGCCACTCTCATTGCCTACTCCTACCTGTCAGTAAAGTCACCAGGATGACATTTAGAAAGTACTGTCATTTAGGCACCCCTAGACTGTCTCTACAGGTATGGATTTGAGAGCTCAAGCACTTGAACAGGAAAAGAGTAAAGATGGGTGGGAGAAAATTCCTGGTGCTATACATCAGCACTGACTTAAAACAGAACACAACAAAACTGCAAGTAAAACAGAAAGTTCTATTTAACAAGCTTCTGCTCACTGTTTCCCCTACAACTTGGGGTTCATTTTAACAGTTACATAACAGCTGTATAAGCATTAGGGATCATCCTTCTTCATATTTTCTACAGATGGACAAACACTCCTAAAGCTCTGAACTGTGGAGACAGCTCTGGTGACAGGGAAGTATCTACTTTGCTTGCAGTGTGTGCCTTTAAAATATACATGCAAGGAAAAGAAGCTAGGCAGAAGATGGCCATGGAGAGGAAGGAACTGGGATGTGGCAATTACTGGGAGTTGGAAATGACTATTTACTCTTCCACTGAATAACTTAAAAAAATAATTCACCATGGCAACAATCATACTTCATAGTAGATAAAGCACTGAATGCTACAAAGCCTTTGCAAAATGAATTATGCACCAGTACGTAGCATGCACTTGCTTTATATTACTGCACATACATTCCAACAAAATTTCCTTTTTGACTCATCTGGCATTTGCTTCCTTACTCTGCACCAAATATCATCTACTTTTCTGACTCTGATCTCATGAATCTGGAATTGTTGAAGGCATTTATTGTGTCTGTTCAAGAGATTCCTATAAAATAATTAATGCATTATCTTCTTAATTGAATTGTGTTATGTTGATTGCTCAAACTGCACTGTATTATGAGAAAATTAGTATCAAAGTTACAGTTATGAAAATTGGTAGTACATCATCTTCTCTATTTAAAATCCAAATATAAATTATCAGGCTTTGACAGGACAACAGAACTTAGGCAGCAATGTGCATATAACACACATTCCCCCCCACCAGTGCAGTTCAGCTAAATCAGTATGAAAACTAGAGTAAATAAAACATCTGTGAGTTTCAGTAAGTAGTTTCATATTAGGATCAGCAGTTCACAAATTAGAAAGTAACTTCAGCAATGTAAGCACATGAAAAGCGTGGAAATAGAAAAAGCACATTGACTCTGCCTCAGATTTCTTGCTTACTCTTAAGTGGCTGCATCCAAGGAATATTTAGGTTAACTTTAAACCAAATCAATTCAGAACAAGTCAAATAACCAGAAATTATCCAGTTTACAACTAATGGCTGCTCAGGCAAGTAAACCTGAATAAGACTGAATAATTAACCATGAGAGAGAATTAACGGATGCTTTACTGAAGAGATTCACTTATCCTCGATACTTCTCAGTGCATGCAAGGAGGTATCAGTACTCATGTGAAAGGTGTAGCTCATGGAGGAGTATTTACAACACGGTAACAGGATGTAATGCAGTGGTTTCCTACAAATACCAGCCCTGTCAGAATCACTGCAGTGCCAGACGACAGGCAGTACTCTTGTCATTTGGGATGCCTGTAGGTCCCAGCCCAGAGTGCAGCTCCCACAGCAAGGAGGGGACAAACCCTTCGAAGCACCACCCTGCACCCCCGCGTCCTGCTGGGTCACACCCATGCCCCGCTGCTCCGGGCCAGCCCACCCGGAGCTTACCTCGACCCCCCCAGGTGGGGGGCTGTTCTTCACCAACACCGGGAGAGTCGGACTGGAATGCCTGGAACCACTAGGTGTCAGCAGAAGAAAGTGCACGGCCGCGGCTCCCATCCCGAAAATCTGAGCCTCGCTTCCCAACATCCCCCAGCTGCTCAGACCTACCAAGCACCTTTACACACACCTCGTATTCACAGAGATCGTTCTGCTAAAGATGATCTACTTGTGTGAATTACATATTTAGAAGAGATAAAAGCACTCCTTCTGCGAACAACAAAATAACTGGGAATTTGAAAAAAGTCATTTGAGTGAACAAAATGTTCACACTGGTGTCACAGGTAGACATTTAAGCCATATGCATCAGGATAATTTGCCTCAGTACAGCCCAGTGAACACCCAGCTGCTGCTGAGTTTGGCTAGATTTAACAGCAACAGAGCTTTGTGGGGCTGTAAGCACATCACAGCCAGCAGATACTCCTCTGCACTTAAAACTGGCTTCGTGCAGCTACGGGAAACACTGTAAGAAACAGCACTGCAGCAGTTATTTTGTCAAGTAAATATTACTATTACTATTATTATGCTTGCCAGCTGTGTACCTGGATATCTTTTTTTCATACTATTTCTAGTTACCAAAGGGCTCAGAAAGTTCATGGCAACAGAAACTCCTTGCCAGTGTTCTGTTTATATGTACATTACACAGCCTTGTATCTCTAGAGTAAAAGCCTCTGTGCAGAATAAGAGCTCTTACTATGCTAAAGTATAATAATGTCAATGTAGAGCCTGCTCGGTGACACATTATGGGCCTACACAGAATAATGAAAAATAGATTCACACCCTTTATCCCAAAAAGTCAGCTCATACCAATGAGATAGTCTATGAAATTAAATTGTCTTATGAGACAGAAACTATGAAAGGAGGAAAAGCTGCTGCTTCTTTGAATTTATTTTCTAATTATCGATGATTTTAGATGAACAGTCAGGTTTCTGGAATTACAGGACATGAAATGCAAAGAACCATCTCCTGTTTTGTATTGCTTATGTCCTGTATTTACTCCACGTGAAGCTGATACATGAACATGAAACACCTGCAAATTTGCTTTATCTAAATTTTAATACTGAAAGGCATAATCACAAATCAAACTGCTGATTTACAAAAAGCCTTAGGAAAGAAAGCCTTGAAATTTTCTACATCCTGATTGTTAAAGTGAATTTCATGACATATTTGTGCAGCTATATTTACAAGTTTTCTGTGTTGGAATGATAAGCAAACCAAACCATTTCTGCTACTTCCTCAGGTTAGCTGTCCCTCAAAGTTGCACTTTCTAGGGGCGTGCCACTGTCAACTCATTTCAAATGTTCATCTTTAACATTCAGCCTTCAAAATACCAGATGGTATTTCCAGAACAGCAATTTAAATTTTTATTCTCCTTCATAAACCCCTTAACTAGTTAATCTCACACACACATCCAGGCAAAGCATACACCAATATTCCCAGAGTTGCCTGGCAACTACAGGGAGGAGCACTGGAGAACAAGGAAGCCTGCGGGGATGGAGGGGAGTCAGTGTCTCCCCAGCAGGGATAAAGGAGGCTCACAGCCAGAGCGCCTCGCTGCTTCCATCTTTGTCATTTATATAGTCCCCATTTTAAATACCTCTACAATTTCACCTGAGATGCTTTAAAAGCCCAGTTCTTACACCCAGACATACACCCACGATTCAAAATTATTTATTTTTTCCACACACACAGATTTCCCCAGTAAGATGTGGAAGGACTTGTGCTGACTTGAAAAGTAATTTTTGAAACCTGAATATGAACCACTGAGATGATGCTTATTTGATGGTGATAACTGGGCTGTTTAAAAGTCAGGTTGAGCTATGTTTTCCTTCTGGCTTTAAAAATAACAAGACAAACTACAGTACTGGAGATACTTTAGCTACTGAAATCCTCAAGAAACACTATATCCAAAGTTCAACTTTTGGCCATGTAACCACTTAACATCATGATTAAAATTAAATTTATCACATGTCTGCAGGCCAGACCTTTTCATCAATCTTCAAAGAGCAAGAGAATGCCAAATACACCACCTTTCAACACAAAAACACAATGAAGAGCTGGGTTTTGCAGAGGAAGCAATGGTCAGCTCTGCACTAGCCTCTTATGATCATTTATTTATTCTTTTTAATCATCTCTCCTCTAATTTGACTACCTTCAAAACCAAGCAACACCCATACCTTTCCATGGGAAGGTTATTCCCTGTGTGATGGACTGTGCTTGTTGCACCTCTTTCATTTTGGAGACTTGAACACTGTTTTCAGTACTAGTCAGCCGAAGAGCCAGCACACTGACCTTAGGAAAAGCTGGTTATGCTACACTTTGAATTGTTAGGTTTTTTCTCCACCACAGCTGCAGATTTACATCTTATGCCAACTAATTGCCTACTTACAGGTTCAATTTTCAGGGCGTTTCTGTAGCTCCCAAAGAAAGCTGCTTGTGCTTTCAGAAACGCTCTTGCAACACCATCTCCAGTGGTTGTAGAGACTTTCTTCAATCTGTTCTTCAGTGCAGAAACCTGAAATCACACAGCAGGTCTAGATCACTCTCATATCACAAACAAAGCGCAACACATCGGGGCACAGCTAAATGAAAAATGTGCTAACCACAGCAGCAGTTATGACAAAAGGTGACATTGTGAATTCAGAGATGAATTTTTCAGTTCTAAAAGCATTACTTTTCAAGCTGTTTTACTTCTCTAAGATAGGATTGGATTCTATTCAGAACTAAAAGCTTCATTGAACCTTCCCCCCTACTTAAAATCCACTGTTAACATGCTGTTGAGTACTCTTTTAAAGGTAGTCCATGAAACTGTGTCACTCTTGATTAGAATCCATGAAAGAATTGCAGTTAAATTAATTCGAACATTTGATTAATAAGAGAAACTGCTCCGCACAACCAGGCCGTCCATCATCACCAAGGCTAGGAACGAATCCCGAAGGTTTGAAAAATCTATGTGCCACAAATACAAGGGGTTGTTAAGGTTATATTCCTTCTCATTTCAGAGCCTGGACGGGCAATGACTCCGTGAGGGCCGTTTGTGGCTGTGCGGGTACCCTCAGCAGCCCCCGAGCCCGGCCCTGCCGCCCTCCCGCTGCCCCTCAGCAGCACCCGGGCCAAACACGCACACCAGGCACGGGGACTCAAGGAAATGAGTACCCACGAGCCGCAGGCTCGAATGTGGGAAGTTAATTTAATCTACTGGCAATTAAAATACAGCAGATAGTGAGAAACAAAGACAGAAAGTTAACCACCGTGCCCTACCGCCGCCTTTTACCGGCCCAACTCCCCGCCCCAGGCCCGCCTCCCCTCCTCTGATGTCAGTCCCGACAGCCCCTCCCGCCGTTCTTTACTCCTCTCGCTTTCCCTCGCTGGCTTTTTGCCTTTTCTCACACATTTTTGGAGCTGTTTGCCGAGGGCTCGGCCGTGCCCGGGATCCGCAGTGTCCTGCCCCTGCCGCCCCTCACGATTCTCGGAGGATTCCCTCACGGCCCCTCACAGCACGAGGACCAGCTGAGGTTCCGACACAGATCTCACACAACGCAGGCCAAGAAAACACAAATACTGCGGCACTGGTTCTTGAAAGGCATTCAGGAGATGCTTTTAGAGGCCGAGGCCACGCCACGAGCAAAGCCCGAGTTTAGTGAAATACCTGACACAAAAAGCAGGCAGGAGCCACAATTTCAGGGGAAAAGGCAGAACGGCAGGAAATCCCTAGTTAGCCCGATTTGCAGGAGAACATGTCTGACTCCATAAATATCCATATGATGAATTTAACAGAAAGAGCCAATAACTAGCAAATCTTCCTTTTCCAAACACCATACTGAAAATCTCCATGGGGTACTTCACACTGTGCAAGAAACGCTGTAGGAATATTATTGACAGAGTGAGCAGATCCTCTGGTAGTGACCATAACTAACTGTTTTCGGAGACTATGAATTACATCTCCTAAAATATAAGCTGATGGTTCAGATGTTCAAAGTCACTTTCAAGACCATCTTCCCATCCTCTGGCTTTCAATGAAAGTTTGCTGTGGCCTCATCCGTATCTCCAAAATCCTACCAGATGAGCTGAGTTTTCTCAGCCTTGAGGTGCTGCCACCAGCCTGCCTCGGTCACCCAGGGCAGCCTGATTTTCCTGAACTGTTTGGGAATGTCTCGGTTCAATCCCTGCCGTAGCACAGCTCTAAGTTAACTTCCTCCTGCAGCAGTCTTGGGTTTGGGGAGGGCACCGTGACTCCTTGTCGTGCTCCACAAGTGTTAAATATAGATTCCATGCTGGGCACTACTCGCTTTTCTTTCAGATGTTATCTTTGCACTTGTGTTTACTAGAACAGTTGCAAAGACATTTCCTTTTAAATCTTCTGCAGATCCTGCTGTAAAAGGCATTTCATTATTTAGTATAACAGAAATAACCAAGAGCGTGTCCAGCACTGTTTATATATCTGAATGCTTATGCCAATGATCCACGCATTAATGAGCCCACAAACCCACATTAACATAGCACGATACCAGATTTAGTCTGAAGCCCGTAAAATAAGCTCACTCCTATTCACTGAGATAACGTTCCTCAAGGAGTTCTGTAATCCTCTAAATATAAAAGCTTCACCAGATTGTCAAACCCAAACAGCACACTTCATGTTTGAAGGGGTCTAGACTTGTAAGGTTGAAATATGCTTTTATTTTGTGTATTAACTTATATAAGCCATTTAAAGGTAGTTCTTAAAAGTGTAATAAAATATCCAGAGCTCTGAAAAACTTCCGAATCTATCTCTGACATTGTTATAAGGGGTTTTCTTTAAACGTTCATGTTGAAGATACAGAACCTTCCATCTATACAGAAGGAAAAAGCTCTGTGCTTTGTTTTAAACAAACCAGGAGTTCAGAGAGCTGTTCACAGCCTTTCTGTGCTTCAGCTCCCCTGGTTGGGACAGAAGCAGAATATTGACTGGTATTTTGCTATACTTCCCTGAACACTGTAGGATGTCCATTTTATATATGTGGGATTACTGCAACAGGCATGTTAATTTTTTAACAAAAAAAAAATGTTAACAACATTTAAATATACTAACAAGCAGCAAAAAAAAATCCATGCCAAAACACCCTTGTGTACTCTCCGGAAAAAATCAATATGTAATACAAAGTAGATTATACAAGCAGAATTAGGGTTGTTTCCTGCCTAAAAGAGACAGTGATACTTTAAAAAACCCTCAAGTTGTGACCACTGAAAATGAGGCTTATTTCTAGCCAAACAGACACATATACATGCAGTCTACCCTGAGAGTATTTTTTAAAGATTTTTATACTTCTGGCAGTTGAGGTTTAAAGGTCTGATTTCAACTCTCACCATGTTTCAGAATGCAATCTGTGCAATGCAGCAGAATGAAATGGTTCAGTAAAGGTGCTAGTGGAAATTCTTTTAATTAGGTCCAAGGCTTTTCAGTTGTCAACATGAATAAAGCAAGAAACGTTCTACTGCAACCACAGCGTAAGAATTAAAAATGGATTCACCTTTAGGAAAATGGTTTGGCTACAGAGCTGCAGTTTGGTACTCCTGGCTGCCCTGGAAGCAGCAGCTCGTTCCCTGTGTGAAAAGCAGCAGCCCTGGTTTCCTGACTGTGGTTCCTTGGTGCAGAGGGGCAGCAGGAGCCGCAGAGCCGAGGCCGGGACGCAGAGGCCCCGCAGCCTCCCCCAGCACATGCCCGGCCTTCATTTAGCAACAGCTACGAGCTGACAGAGCAAGCTCGTACTTCATTCCTTGTAACGTGGGGCTCTGACTACAACTATGACTAGAAGATGACACTTATTTGGAAATACATGAAAAATCCATACGGGTTGCATAAAAAAAAATTACTACCCCCTCTTTGCTATTCGTTGCAACACAGACGGTGGTGTAGGAGACTTGTCAGCAGCAGATGCACTTATTGTAATCACAGTCCTTAATAAATCTCTTTTTTTAATATTGATTATTTTAAAAGGAAAGTTACTTCCCAGGGTGCTCTCATGCTGCCAGATTTCCAGCAATACATCAGAAGCAGAAGGTGAAGAAGGGGCAGGTTTTCACACTTCAAATAGTTAATCAGTAACACAGTAGTACAAATCTTGATTTTCAGGGACATGACCTGACTACTTCAGAAGCCTGACAGGCAGCAGGTACTGCTGAGGTAAACTAGGGCAAAGGAACAACTTGAGCTGACTATGCTGGAACTGCCTGAATTCTGTCCAGCTCTTCTGCCACAAATTCTAACTGGAAAGACTTTTCACTGGGTCCTATGTTTTTTTGGATCCTAAGAATTAAAGAATAAAAACCAGTTATTTCTTGATTTCCAAGAACCAGTTTAGATAGCAACATCACTATCATGAAACTCAAGAACAACTCACTACCTAAGGCTCTAAAAGAATCATAAGACTTCATTCACTTGATTTACAAAAGCAGTTCAAGGAGAGAGGGAAAACAGCTCTTAGAAATTTTCCACTGGATTAATTACCTGATGGTGAATGCGCCACAGAGAAGATGTTTTTGCTCACTGATGAATATAGATAAGATTTAATTTAGAAAAGTAAATTTTGTCTATTCAGCAGTGCATGAATTGCTCACTGCTCACATTAAGTAACAAAACTGGCAGAGTAGTTTGACATAACAGGCATTTATGATCAGGAAACTCTTGAAGACATTTTTAGTTTCTTAGATCATAAATGCATCTACTTAGACTAAGACCAGTGGGGACACAAACTCCCAAAATCTCCCAGGGAAGTAAAAAGGAAAAAAAAAGAAAAGAAAAAAAAGTATAATGGATTGGCTTTAGCTTGTCCCTGCTGAGATGAACAACTTGATCCACTTACAGTTCCAAACACATGATGCATGAAAGAACTGACAGAAATTCAATTCTTGCACAGCAGAGCAGCTGCTCTCTAGTGGTCAAAGCCAACTCTGGAACCGTGTGAAGGGAGAGACCTGGAGGAGGAACTGCATCATCCAGGTAACTGCAACAATGTGCCAGAGCTAAATCCCACATAAACCCCCAGCCCAAACATTAATTACACAACGCAACACGACTCAACTTAAAGCTTTGTTGTGAAAAATATTAATCCCAGCTGTATTTATATAGCAGTTGTGAAAAAAAATATCTCATATATGCTACTGGTGAGCCCTGACAGTTAATTGAATTTGCTGGCAGCACTTCCTCTGCTCTGCTCTCAACATCCTCAGAGATAAAATGGAGCTTTTAAATAGACCTGTGGAAAACTGAATCAAGAAATTTGAACTAATAAAACACAACTCTCTACTGTTATAAAAGTGAAGTAAAAGTAAATAATGAAAGGAAGGAAGTCTCTTAAAATTTATTACATTCCAAAGCTTGAAGTTCTGTGTTTATTGGAGAAGTCTCTTCTGATGTTCTACAGTGTGCCCACAACAGCTCCTTTAATGAAGTCTCATAAAATCTAATATAATACTTGATTGTTGACAAATCATATACATGTTTGAGGCCCCGTGTTCACTGTATCCAGACATTTCTTACATAATTCCATGAAATTTACAAGTCTGTCATTCCTGGGTTGTGGATAATGGCAGGAGCAGTGACCAGCTGGCAGATTTGGATGCTGGGAGTGAAATCAAAATGAAAAACTATATAAAGCCAGAAAAAATCATGGAATCAACTTTTATAGACTAGATGCTTGACTAAAGCTAAAACGTTCACAATCAAAATGGCCCTTTCCTCCTGAGCTCCTTGTTTTTGCAGAACGGATCCTGCTGGAATGCCGGGGTGCCACAGCAGGAGGCACCGGGCATTCACCACTGCAGCTTCTCCTCACACACCAGCTTACACTGAGCTCCCTGCACATCAATTCCATTTCTCAGCTGCACATAAAAATGTTGGGATCTGACTGTCAGCACAGTATTTCCAACTAGGAAAGGAAATCCAGATTTTCCCCTGCCACGCTCTCCTAAACATTCACTCTCTGCCTTGAAAATAGCCCCTGACACTCTCACTCCTCTGCTCTCCCTTCTCAGCTCCTTCAGTGGAGATGATCACAGCAGCAAGTGGGATGTCTTTGTGTCCCCTTGAATGTCAAGTATTTATACACCATTACTATCAAGTTATTAAAAACATGAAATAATTTGCCAATAAAAAGAGTGAATGAGAAAGAAAATTACTTCTAAGAGTGATGGAAGTGAATATGAAGGCACCCATTTCATATCGTATCTCAGGATATAGAATGCACAAAATTCCTTAAAGCTCACCTGGAAGCAGTCACAGGAAAAAACCCTACACAATTTCATTTGGAAACAACAGTTAACTAAAGATGCAGGATTTCTAGCTCACTTGAGCATTAGCTGATTTTCACTGGGAAGCTTCAATGCATGTCTGCAAATGTTGAAACTAACATCCCCAAACACTTTGGGACAGCAGGAACTGAGGGAAAGCAGTTCAGTGCTGCCACCAGGAGCTCCCAGGGACACCCCTCGGCCATAGCAAGCAGGAACTGCTACCAGGAACAGAACCCTTGGATAAATTACCTTGGAACAGAACCCTTGGATAAGTCACCCCATACGTACCACATCATTGGGGAGGCTCTGAAGGTCATCAAAAGGGGTTTCCAGTGTGTTGGTGTCTACGTTAAGGATCACCACATCTTCCAGGGCCATGCTTCTTACTTTCTGTATGTGAGCAAATTCAGGAGAAGGGAAAGGAAAATGTAAGTATGGGGAATTAAATGTTGTGCATAAAGGACACAAGTGATGGCAGAACAACACGGCTCTACAGAACCTCAACCATTTAAAAAACAATCAACATTCCTGACTTCCTGTTATCATTTGTTTTATTTATTCATTTTACAATGCTAGAAAAATTAACCTTCAGCTGGCAAAGGGAAGTTCTTAACATGCACACTGAAATTTGTCAAACCACAGGGTCCGTGATTATTCAAGCAAAGATTGATTTCAAGCACCTCTATCAATGTTTGTCTTGGTGTCCTGTTTGCACATTTAACAGCTTCTAGTCAAGTCAGAATTTCAAGCAAAGAAAAAAAATAAAAACAAAATTTTAAATAAAATATTTATTAATATTTCTTAATGATTAATTATTAACAAGTTAATATTTATCAATAATGTTTAAAATAAAATATAAAAATATATTTGGAAATTAATTTAAATAACAATAAAGAGTGGATTTTCCAGGAGTTGAGAGTTGCATTAAGTCAGGGATGGGAACAGGTTTCCAAATTCCAGGTTGAATTTTGGAAGTCTACTAAAGACAAGTTTACAACTGCATTTAAGTGAAATGCATGCTGTGAGAGTCCAACCAGTAAATAATTAAAATGGGGGGGAAAAAACAAAGCTAAGAGAAATTTAATTCTACCATATCCTGGTCAGCAAGTCTGAACTTTCCTGTTCCCATGAACTGAGAGAAAGTTTCTAATCTAGTCTGAAGTTCACATCTTCTGTAACAGTATTTACAAATAGAAAAGAGGAACCTATTCCTCAAAAAAACCATCATCAGTACCAGTGACTCTGACTGTCTAAAGGTATCTGTGATCTAAGCAAATATAAACACTGCCAGACTTGATTTCCCTGCTTAATCAACAGTAAATGAGTCACTGATACCAAACAGAGCAGCATTTAAACACTTAACACTTCTTCCACCAACAGGAGACTTAAATCTCTTTTTTTTTTTTTTTTTTTTTTTAACTGGCTAATCACACAGGTTTAATCTCTTCAAATAAAGCTTTGAAAATTCGAAATCAGAAAACTGGAATTATAGAATATGGTAATTGAGGAAATTTCCCAATGACACTGTAAAAAAGGTTTAAGTATCTACCTACTTACACACAGGACCAAATGAAAGTTACTGAGCAGGAAAGTGAACAAAAACATACTCAATTTTTAATTAAGGTTTTGTGAGGTGGAGGGAGTAGTTTCCTTTAAAAGAAAGGAACTAAAGTCCTAAAACAATGGCAAAATTGAGCCTTAGGCAGCTAAATAATTACACTCAGTTTTCAAGGCTCAGTCCTCTGTCTATAAAGCAAACTGCTGTGTACTTAGGGCTGAAAAAAAACCCAACAACCATAAAACCCACTTTGTGGACATTTAAGTTTAGGTCTTCATGAGACATTTCTTTAACTTAAATAGAAGAATATTACATTTAATGCTTTCCATATAAAGAGCACCAGCACTGCCTGACAAACCAGGTACTTTGCTTGCAGGAACCAAAGGTCAGCCCGTTGGCTGCATCTGATAAACTCTAAAGCAATCCAGGAGCCTTGCTCCTTCTAGGAGTCCGGAAGCACCAGACAAACTGATTTGCTCCTTCCTGTTTCAGAAAATTAAAAATCTCACTTATACTCAGAGGAGTCAAAAAACCTCCAACAAAAAGGTCCTGCAAAGTACTTAACCAAAGCCAGAAGCTTGTCAGCCTCAGTGCTGGCAGGACAAGACAGAAGGAAGGAAACCCTTCTCTTGTTTGCAGCCAGAGCAGCAGCACATGAGCAGTGAACGTGCCAGGGGTGTTTCTGTACCTCTGGTGGTGAATCTGCACCTCCCCTTCAGCCAAATGTGGGCTTTTCTGGAGGACAGGCTTATGTGCCAAGCAAGGCTCAGCCAGAGGGGATACCCCAGAAGGATGCCCTCATGGTACAGGCACTGTAAATGCTGCTCAGTGGGATCACCCCACACCTGGCCCTGAAACCATCACATCCAAAAGGAAGCTGATGTAAAACTCTGCTGGGCTACACCTTTACACCACCAAGAGCTCGACCTCACTGTAAAGATTTGCAATATTTGTACAAAGGCAGTGGATTTCCCTTGAGAGCAACCCTCGGATTTAATAAAACACTGGAGACTGACTTGATTAATAGCATCTGTCTTGCAATGCATTCAAAACATACAATTTTTTGATGGTCCAATTGTGTCTCATTCTACAGAAATGCAGACTGACCAGTTCATCTTAATCTTTAGTTGGTTTTATCACCTCCTGTCACTATCACCTTTGATAAAGCTAGTATCAGGCAGTTATAAGGACTTTTGTTAAATAATCACGTTTCTTTCACTAGACCTGGCACCTAATCAGCCCAACCAACATGGAAATCACAGTATTTACTCTCTGGTTGGAATTTGAGTAAAAATTCCCATCATTCAGCTACAATTCTCACATTAAACCCCACTGGATTATGTGAATCACAAAAACCTGTAGATCATTTTTCACAAGTAGAGTTTGTGTGTTGTCATGGCTCTCTGGAAATGGGAAGGGACAGCCAGAAGCCACACACAGCCCCAGTTGGTATTTCACAACTTCCTGAAGAGCTGAACGAAGTTTTACAAGTGATACCTGTGCAACAGACTGGACTGTATTCAGTAGGTTCATATTTTGCTGTAAAGAAATGTGGATAAGCAAGGACCAAGAGGAAACATGAACATTACAGATTCCTTATCTCATTTTCCCACAAATCAGGGATGTACTGAGTCAAAAGGAGAGATTCAGTGAAAGTGTGCATCACATCTCACTCCTGCAAACCTTTCTTAACCATCCTTGCCCAATTACTTGTAGCCATAATTAATCACCTAAAATCCATCTAAATCAAACTAACATCTACACCTGCCTTTTATTTTAAATGTCTCTTTTTAAAAGAGTGGAGAGGTATGGAAAGCTGGTTTAACAAGCACACTGAACCCATTGTTTATGGCCTCTATAAACATGGCTTAGTAAGAATTACTGACTTAATCAGAGAGAACTTATCTCCTGGTGAAAAGAGCACTTTAAATTTCAGAAATGGCACCTTTACTGTGAAAATCTCTTAACTTTTCAAACAAACTCCGGGGGGCCTTAAACACCAGGTCCGTAAATAAGCGCAGTCCGGGTGCCTGCCCCGCTCACAGGCAGCCAAACACTCGAGTCATTTAAAGGTTTTATGTGGAAGTTCACAAAAACACAGAAACCATATTCTAATAGAAGAATTAAGGGCTGCTCCTCCATCCCACTCTAGAAGCAATATTCATCCATAACAATAACACCAGTTCACACTAAATGCTATTTTATCAGCACTGGCTACCCTTGACAGGTTCTGCATTTTCTGCCATAAAGGAACCCCAAGTTCAACTTCTTTCAGGTGAACAATTTTATTGAATAGTTTAATTTAAAACAAAACAAAAAACCCCTCCATAACCATCAAACACCAGCACCCCCTGCCTTTCCTCCCACAAACCAGTTTTGCGTAACTTCACGGCCAAATTGCTGCCAAAACATAAACCAAGTCGATCATGAGGTTTTATAACCAGATACAAACGTGATCAGCATCTTAAAAAATGTTGTAACAGTAAAAGGGTAACATACCTTCCACCAATTCTTTTAGAAAGGCAAGAACTAACATTCTAGCTAGCCTGTGCACTAGGTTTGAAATTGTTAAGAAAGTATGATTCACAACAAGTCTAAAATCCATTTGCTTAATGACTTGTCTCTACTGAATTAATAGTTTCCATTTATTTTCTTAAGGAAAACACCACATCACTGCAGACAACAATGTGTCAATCTGGCTGCCAGAAGCAGGAAAGGCAGCGGATATAAAATTTTATTATTTCATGCCCCAAGAGCAGCCAGAAGGACTTAATGAAATCACGGCCAGATTTACAATCTGAAATGGCTATTCAGCAGACAGCTCTGCTTAAGCGGGATGTGCCCCCTGACCCCGGGGCCCTTTGATCCGGGCACAGCAGGTGGGCTGCCCCCCCAGCCCATCTCCCACCCTTCCGCCCGGGCACCCCGAGCCTCTACAGGTGATTCCCCAGATCCTTATCACAAGCAGCTGTTGCCAACTGAGTGACAAACAGCACCCGTGCTGTGGCACACGAGAAAAACCTCTCTGCTTCTGGGGAAGCCTGCTTGGTACTGCAGGGCTTGGCCTCTGCAAACTCAGCCTCAAACATCCCCCAGAATCCCTTATTAAAACATGATTCTTTTTTCCATTTTCCCAATAACTGGATAAAAGACAATTCCTTAAGTAATCTGCCATATTTTTAAATGCATTTTCATCAACACTCCTGAAACCACGTACAGCATATCGGGAATATTTGTGAGTGGCTAAACTGCATTTAGGGGTCTAAGGCCTGGATTTAAGTTAATCTATAGTCCTTCATAAAAATCCAATGGAAAAGCTGCACTGCCTCAGTTACAGGTAGAAAAAACATTGATTTACTAAGTATAAATGGGTGGAAAAAGCTGATTACTGCTTCTCACCCCAATCAAAAATATAATTAACAATTAACAGTACCAGTGGCAGATGCCAGTGGTCAATGAACTCTCAGGGTGTGCTCTGGGAAGGGGAGCCCAGGCAGGGTCAGGGCCTGTCTCAGAACCCGTGCTCAGGGCTCGTTAGCTCAGACTCAGTGCATGCTAATTGGGCTATGGTCACACTGGATCCCGAGCAGGGCATCCTCACCCCCAGCAGGAGAAGGGGAATGTGCCAACAAGTGCTCCCCAAATGGGGGTTCTGAGGGCTCCAGCCCCACTCCCCTGGCTGCACAGGAGACACTAACACCAGGTGAGATCAGCCACCGTGTCCTACCACGTGTCACACAAAAGGAATGTCACTGAGTGCTTCTTTCCTCACATGAACATTTTTACTGATGCCAGCTTGAAGTACAATAAAAATCTGCTCACACAGCTTTTATTATATACACCAGTGTCCTCTTTCCTTAGGAAAAAGGTTAGAAGAGCATTCTGAAATCCAATGTGCAGTTTCACACAAATTCATCCTGGACAATCCTGCAAGAATTACAGTTCTGAAGTCCCAGAAAAAGTTCTTGAATAACTGGAATATTAATAAAAAAAATATAAGAAATACTTTTCCAATCACTAATTCTAACTCTAAATGCTGGCTGTGTGCCCCAGGCAGAGCAGGAAAGGGGGGATGTTCTCCTAAGTGGATCCCGGCACGCTGGAGTCGGCTGCCAGAGCTCCACATCTCAGAGCCCAGCACAACCATCCCCAGCAGTCAATCAAAACCACATGTGCCCGAATTCCAGCAGGGAGCTCCTAGGTCAAGGGCATTCCCCCTCCATCAGCACCATCACACTGATAACCTTCCTACACAAACAGTTACAGAAACAATCGCTTTCTCTGACAAAATGGAAAAGGCTGTGGATAAGTTTGACACAGCTTCCGACACAAAGGGCAATTTTATATAATCTGAAGACTAAAACAGCCTACAGTGCACAGGCAGAAAATAAGATAGTGAAAGGGGTGTGTTCTTTTGATAGTTTCATTTTCCTATCTCATTATTTATCACTACTAAGTACTTATCTTCATCTAATATGAATTCAATTAGTTCCATAAGCATGTTCCATTATTCATGTGATAGCTCCAGCCTTGCTTATCCAACAGCTTATAAACTTTTAGCCTTCTTTGAAGTCACTTTATGGATTGCTAAATGGAAATCTTATAAAGAATGACTAACTAGGTGATGATAGAAAAGCTGAAAAATAAGAGCACAAAACACAGCTCTGTATTTTCTACCAAGGTTTTCCCCCATAAATCAGTTGGAGCCCTCTGACCTATAACAGGAGATTATCTTATCTCACTGGAGAACATTTCAGTCACAGCAAATTAGATTTAACAGTCAATGGATAGGCTTGATATTTTAATCATAAGAAAAATTTGTCATTTTCCATTAAAATAACTGTTCCTTCTACAGAGCCCCTGTGGAACACGGGAAACTGCAAACTAACTTTAAGGTGAACAAACAGTTCAGGAAAGATCTGTTGAGCTGAGAGAGGCTGGATTTTGTTTAAAATCACCAACACTTCTGCTTCTTCCAGAGCCCCCATTCCAACACTGGGACACCAAAACCCACAGAAACAAGAGTAGATGTAGAAAATATTTGTTTCCTATATCCCAAATCTCATCTTGCCTTCACAGCACAACTTTCCCTGGGCAAGGTGAGGTTGCCAGTAAAGCTGACACAAGGAGGACAAATCCAAGCATGGGAGCTGCTGGGGCAGAGCCTGAGCCCAGACCTGCAGCACTCCTTGGGCTCCCACCAGGGCAGGGTCCACCTGCAGCCTCAGCTCAGATCCTGACACTCGAACCTGTGCATCAACAGAACACTTTTCAAGTCCTGCTTGTGAAATTTCACCATTTGGAGAAAAAGGAATACTGAATAATGGCAGTTTGTAGTTCTAGCTTATAAAATTATTTTGATATGGAAAAGAGAGTGTATTTTTAAACAAATACAACTGCCAGATCAAGAGAAAAGGAATTGCTGTTGCAACAACGTTACTCTAAACAAAAAAGCACACAACTTTTCATATGAAGGAAGTGCAAATAGAATGAACATTCAATGCCACAAGCAAGAGGCAACCTAGGAAGTCCAGCTCATGTGACAAATGTCACCTTTCCCTTGCCCAGAGCACAGAAATTCTGCAGCCCTTGCCACCAGACAGATCCAGCAGCCACTGTGGAATTTTATGTTATTTTTCAATGGAAAAAGCAGAGTTAGCTGCAAGATGCAGTTCTGTCTGTATTCAATTTGTCTATAAGTGCAGAGAAAAAGAGTTTGGTTTATTTATCTAATTTATTTGATAAGACACTTTGAATAACTGTACTTTGCCAAAGTGTGTCTGTGTTCCAGAATCTCTGGCTATTCAAAAGCCAGACTGGATTTAGTACTAAACAGATTTTTTCACAAGTTACTAAAATGGATGAAAATTGGCTTCTCCAAGAACAACTCCTTTTTTTGAGTTTTTACAGATGGAGTTTGGAAGGCCCACAGAGCCCTGCAGTCTGAAACACGGAGACAAAGGAAGAGGCAATGGATTTATGGAGCAAGGCAGGAGTGAGATATCACACAAAGCAACTCCAAGGTGTAATTATTAATTTTGTTTCCTATATCCATTCCCAGGCCAAGCACAGTGCTCATTGTGAGCACAAATATCTGTGAAAGCTGCCAAGTGTGTGTATGAAGATAGTCTCCCATTCTCTACCAGCTCTCTCCCATCTTTTACAGATTTCACAATAATCACACCTATGATTGCCTGGGATGGATATGGGGCAGAAAGTTTCTTGATCAGTATAAAAAATCCATTTCTTCCTAGATATTCCCTCACTCCTGTCTGTGCAGTATCCAAGGGTGATTATGAGGAGCTCCTTGAACAGAAGCATATGATGTGCAAACAAATGTATGTGTTGACTTTTAAACTAATTGGTTATTCACAAACACATTGTACCGCAATTCTTTACTTGGTTTAGCAGTATAAAGGGCATAAAAAGTCATCTGCAGCCAGGATGGTAAGGAGAAGAAAAAAGACATCCTGTACATTTAATCTATCTTTTCATGAAAAACTGAATTCTAAAATTAGCTCCCATTAATGCTGGGAAAAGGGGAATATTACACAGCACACACAAACACATAGGGCATCATTATTACACACATTTCTCCTAGTGAAAGAATATTTATCAATATTTCCAGAAATTAAACATTTTTATGGACAATACAAGAACAATTCCTCTATGTGATGCAAACCCTGGCTGTCTAAACAGTTCTGCACCCTGAACACGAAGGCCCCACTTCCAACCACAGGATCTAAACCAGGGACACAGGTCCATTAATGTCCAGGGGCATGTGCAGACCCAGCTCTCCAGCCCTGCCCCAAGGAGGGGCTCCCAGGGCAGGAATGCCTCTTCCCAACTGGAGCACTCCTTGGGAAGGGGCACAATCAGGAAGGATGAGGATTTCAGAGGTACCTTAAGCCAGTATCTTTTGTTGTCCCCCACATATTTTTGAGGAAAGTCACCCACTGTTTCACCAGTGCTGGAAGCAAAAGCAAATGTGCTATTTCCACTTTTAGAGTTTTTAAAAAAAAGTCACATGAATTACTGGGAATTGTTTATAGGAGAAGCTTTCTGTGAGGGCTGGTGCTCTGCCAGCTTTGTGTTAACATTAACTGCAAGTTCCTTCTTTTCAGATCTTTTGAACATTAAAAAAATTACAATCTGTCTGCAAAAGCCTAAAAGAGAACTGTAACTGTCAACATTGTGGTTTAATATCGACTCTGCCTTTGTGCCTGAGTCCAAGCAAGGCACTGAACTGATTAAATGAAGCCCCAGGGTGGGGAGGGGAGCACGACGTGAGTTTGTCACCGCCGAGCTGTGAACGGGAAGTCTGCCCAAGGAGCTCAGGGGAGCAAATAAGGCTCCTGAAGATTCAACATTATCATGTATGCCTCACGCGAGCCACTCACTCACTCCCAGCACTCCCAAATTAACAGGATTATTTCATTTTTAAGCATATGAATGAATGTGTAATTGCTTACAGTCTGGCTCTAAATCATAGCACTGTATATAGTTTCAGAAATGGTGAGAGAGACTTACCTCCATCAAACTTAGGTGTATTCCAATGAGGTAGGGCATGGGGGCACTGTGGAGAGGAAAAGAAACACAGCTTTACATCCTTGTAACACTGAATAACACACATGACTTATAAAATTAGCTGCAGGAGAACACTGGGATACTGGATGAGATTTTGCTTTAAAAGTAACAGATACATATATACAAACAAATCACGTGTGAACAAAGTCTTAGTCCATATTTGAAAGACCTTCATTAGTATGCCATAACCTCTTACTCCTATAAGACTTCACTTTTTCTTGACATCATAATTTTTAAGTGACTAATTTTAGGCAGGTACCTAAGGACAGCTATTAAACATATCCCTAACACTGGGGTCTTTTGTTAGAACGCCAAACAAAATGTGTTATTGCAATTTTAAAAACATACCCAGACTTTTCCAGTAGTGTTCTTTCAAAAACTGCACCCTCTCATAGTGTCAAGTGATAATTTAATGTATCACCCAGTTGCTGTATCACCACCTACAAGTTTTGAATTCTTTGAATGAGTCCAAACATTTTTTTGTTAATCTTGACATATTTTCATTTGTAAAAGAAAACACAAAAAATACTTTTGAAGATCCCGATAAGCTCCAGAGTTCCTGGGACATCCACTGATACCAATATTCCCCTCAGAACACAAACTGCAATACCCCAGAGGCTCTTGGGCCAGGTTTTAGCCCCAGACAGAGGCGTGGCACCTTTGTTAGCCCACAGAACGCCAGTGTTTAAGAGATGGCTGATCTTCTCCATGTCCCTTCCTGGCATGAGCAAAGCCCCAGAAGGACCTGCCCCCAGCAGAGCCCCGGATGGGAGCTGCCTCTCGCTGTCCAGGATTTCCAATACCGAGCTGCAGCCTCCCCCTCGCAATCAGAGCCATCAGCGAGGCTGCCAGAGCTGCTAATTGCAAATATGGCACATCCTGCCTGCGAAACGCAGCGCACACAGACAGACACAACTTCTAAAATAGAGCCTCAGCTCGCTTTGGATACAGAAGCTCAAAGAGCTCATTTTCAATTTCAGTTGAAAAAATGAGAGAAATGTCACTGTACGGCCTTGGATTAAAATATCTCCCATATTGCTGCTCTAAGCTGGTGCCTACTGCTCAGTAAGAGCAGTACAGTGCTGAAAAAGCTCCTGAGACACCAGGCCAGCAAAAATCCCTGCTTCTCCTTTTTCTGAGAAATACCTTAGAAATATATTTACTGATAAGTATATTAATATTTATGTTGCTTATTAATACACCCCCTCAATTTGCCAGTCTGTAGGATGCTCTACCGAGGTGGAGCCCCTGCAGTAGATATTCTATGTGAAACCATTTTTTTCCCTTTCTGAAAAAGGAACACAGCTTCCACAACCCCTTCCCAGTCCACTGGCAGAACACTCCAGCACTTTGTCCCACGTCACTGCAATAAGTGCACCCCCACAACCCCTTGGGACAGAGCCCAGAGGGGCTGCCACAGCACAGAATTATCCCAAACCTTCTGTTTCCTGGGAATCCCACAGGTGGCAACCAGAGCACCCACCCAAGCCCCCGGGCGGGTGTGACTGCTGCCCAGGACCCTCGCCCACAACACATGAGGGCTGCTCAGCTGAGCGCTGCTTCGTCATGGACACGTCTGATTTGTGACAAATGCCATCTCTGCAGCTCCAGGAGCAAGAGAGCAGCCTGGAATTCCATACAGAGGGAATGAAGCAGTGCCTCGGCCGTGGCTGCACGGCGGCCCCGAGCCGGGCTGCGCTGCTCCGGCCCCTCCGCTGCCACCGCCACCAATGTGGTTCCAATTAAGGACTTCCAGCAACGCCACAGCTTCAATCCCCACCGTACAAAGTCGGAACCTCGGCAGGAAGCCTTAAGCCTGCAAATGTCTCATCTTGTGGAACCTTGGCTAATGTAATGAAAGGAAGCAGGAAGAGTGCAGTATTCCTGAAAACCAGCCATTTATTAACATCTCCAAATGTAGGAAGAAAAGATACGGCCCAAGACACATGGATCAGCTTTGGATGCAAAGGCTCATCTTTTCAATTCTGAAGTGACAAACATTGTAGCACAATACAGCACATAAAATAATTACAGGGTCAGCATAAATAACCTCAATAAAATGTAATTCTGGTAAAGAGCATAAATATTTCCAATAAAATCTACCAGAGAGGTTCTATTCTTCCATCATCACTCATCAATATGACTGAATAGGAAACACACCTAGAAGTAAATGCCCAAAGTTCATGTCAGGCTTCATAAATTGCTTTTATCACCATTTCTTTTGACCATGAGTTAATCACTGGCCATTATTTAAGTAGACCTTCAGCATCCTGTGCAGGGAAATGTGGTGTGTCCCCCCTTCCCCACCCAGGGCACACTGAAACAGTCCTTCCTCAGTGCAATTCAGGTCCCGAGACGTGGAACACTCCAGCAGTTTTTAATATTTTATCAGGGTAGGTTTGTACTTGCAAGACTTCCAAGTGAAGTTCAGCAAGACACATCCCTTGCATAAAGGGCAGAAACACTCGGCACAACCTTTAATCCTTCTGGGAGCCCTGGCAGATTAAAGACTGCCCTTCAGAGCAGGCCTTCCCCACTGCTTGACACTTCATCAGTCCTGGGGCTTCTTACAGCCGCAACTACTAATTACTCAAAGTTGTTTGCTGGCAGCCAATAGCCATTAAGTGCAAAATTAAGAAGTATCAGTTTCTACCACATGTATTTACTGCTCAAACAAAGTGCCTGCGTGAGCCTTTTGGAACAAAGAGAGGGGTCATTACTCCTCTTGTGCTATGCTGGCTCCCAAGGCAATCAGCCTTATTTATAATCAAATGAGTTATATAGGTAAATATCAAATCATTAAAGTAGCAAGGCATAAGCATGAATATGGATTTTGGGGACATAATGGCTATATATTACCCATTTATTACAGTTGCATTTTTACAATTTCTTTAATTCGTTTTCTTAGGCAAACTAGAGACCTCTTAATTATGCTCCCAAGAGGTGGGCAACTACTAATTGGAAGAGAAGCAGGTGAAATAGAGGGACATTTCTTCTTAAGTGAAAAAAGCCCAGCCTTAAAAAATACTACAATTCACCAGGAAAGTAATGCAAAAGCCCAAGGATCTCCAAAAAGCTTCTATCTGCAGCTACATGGAAATTTCACCATTTTGCTTCATTGTTCCAGGAAAATGGATGAGAGCACATTTAGCACATTCATCTCTTGCTCTACAAACATTGACTGAACGAGTGGCTGTCTCCCACCACTGGTACTTCCCTCTCCAGGGCAGATGCCTGATCTCTCTTCAGATTCCTCATTGAAATGCAACAGAATTCCACCCAAAATTTATTGGGGTAATTGATGCAAATTAGAAACTTGACTGCATAAATTGGACCAATGCAGAGAAGGCACAGCTCCGAGAGCAGGAGCGCAGCTACAAGAGGCTTTAGTGAGTGCCCAGGTGTGCCAGGCTCAATGGCAATGCCCACCAAGAGCTCCCTGGGCAGGAATCTTTGTTTCCCAGCAGCAGGAGGACTCCAGCTCTGCCTCCACCTACTCGAGGAGCACATTGATTATAAGCAGATTTAGAAAACAGGAGAAAGGGGGTTGAAAAATCTCCTGGAGAAAGGGCAAACTGCCCCAAGAGAAGTGTTTGTTCAGCAGCTGTGCCAGGGTGCTCTCAGAATTTATTCATGTTGGCTGCTAAGCTGTCTGTCTGATAGAAAAGACTGTTTTAATCACCCTACAAAATGTACTGTTTCTTCTGGTGACAAAGCTGTGGGGCTCAGCACACACTCAGCCGTGTCCCAGCTCAGCAAAGCCGGGCTTTTCTAAGGGCTCATTTTAAACACAGACACTGAGAGCAAGAAGGGAGCAAACAGACAAAGTGAGAGTGGTTATATGGCACACAGAAAACTAAGTGGGAAAAGTAGTGAGGAAAATTGATACACTGCTTCCTTCACGTCACCAAATGTTTAAATTTCCAATAAAATAGATGGACAAAATCTGACCGAATTCAAATATTTGTATGTGCCTGACTATCAGTGCTTGGTGGCAGCACCTCACTAACCAGGACTTCTGGCACCTGCTGGCATGTGCTCTAAACAAACAAAACCAAACCAAATAACCCCAAACCAGCCTCCAGCAGTGCAGCTGTGCTTCTCTGTGTTCAAAGGAACAAGCAATTGTGCATTAAGGTATGGAATCTAATCACAGTATTTTAGTCTCCTGCACCCAAAATGTTTCCCTGGGCTGAAAATACATTAAAGAGTGGAGCTTAATTAAAAAATAAAAATACAAGATATCTCTCTTCCCCTTGCTTCCCCTCCTGTCCCTTTGTCCTCAATAATCTACATGACAGGATGAGATGGCTGAAGGAGGATCCACCAGCAGCACTGAGTCAGCATCCCCACTACAGGGCAAGACCATTGAGAACAAACATTTGGGTTAAGAAAACCTTTTCAAGAATGAAATGGAAAGCAAAAGGCAAATAATCACAGGTGGAATATTTTTTTTAAAAAAAACTTGCAAGGATCTCGAGTGACACAGTCTATCCATCCTTCTGTGAGTTTCAAAAGAGCAGGAGAAGATTCAAAACATCACAACACATCAGTAAATGAGCACAGTCAACTGAATGAACAAGATACTCTGTATTCATGAGAACTGAAGAATTCTCATTGCTTCAAGTTTTGTTCCCATTTCAGCTCTCTAAAATTCTTACGTCATATTTGCAAAAGAAATAACCAGGTAATAATTAAAATTAAATGGAACTCTTCTATTTTAAATAATCTCAGGTCATTTCCCTTTAGAGACAGACACCAGGAAGCAAAAATACTGCCTTAAAGCAGGGAGCTGATTGCTGAGTCCTCCCAGGCAAAAATGACATCTCCAAGTTCACATGGTTACAAAATAGACGGTGGACTCTATTTCGGGAAATATTTTATGGCACATAAATTGTTGCTAAACTGACTTAAACAATGATAGAGTGTGTAGCTACCTCTCCAATTAAAGTTCTGGCTGGGTAAGGAAATCAGGTGTTGCATTTGTGAGCTGCCTAACAGCTGTACATTTTGAAATGACTCTGCACACAGCCTGGCTCCCTCCTGGCCACTGAAGAATCCCCTCAGTGATGCTCAGTGACTCCTGCCTTTCTCTCTGCCTCCCTCTGGGCGGCCCGTCCCTGCATTTGTCAGGAAGTCCATGAATAACTGATCTCCTTGGAGCAGCAGGTACCTGAGGGGAGCTGGGGCAGCCTCTCCAAGTGTTAATTACACATGAGAAGCCCATTATCCAGGGAAAGGCACCTGCTGGCACTGCAAATGATTGGGACCTGCCCTCCCTGCGCTGAAGGCTCATTTCCACAGGAGATAACTCTTTACATTTCGCTCCCCCTTCCCCGACACAGGCACACACAACATTTAAATCAGCTGCACGGGAGCAAACTTCTTTTAAAGCTGCACAATTTGTTTCCAAGCCCTCACTCACTGCTGGTTATCCAGCTGGATCCCCAGGAGCAGCTGCAGCAGGAGAGGGCTTCAGACTCACTCTAAGACACTCTAAGTGCGAGGGACAGGTCCCCAGCTCCAGAACACTCACAGGTAATGCACACACAGAGATGGCCTTACCAGCAGTAGTCCAGGAGATGTGGGGGCAGGACAGGAATGTAAACGTGCTGCCAGAACATCGGGTAGAGCATGGCTGCAGACCCATGGATGCAGGCAGTTAACTGAAAAACACAGAGAAACCGCAGCATAAATGAGACAAACCCCAAGCTTCAAATGGTAAACATGAAGGCAAGAAAGTAAAGAATCATTTCTGCTTTCCTATTAATGCTTTATTAGAAAATACACAGCACTGCTGGCAAAAACAAGGGTCTCAGGGGGAGCAGGAGTGGCTGCCTGACTTTGTGAACAGCTGAGAACGTGATTCACTCAACAAACCTAACCCGCAAAAAACACCCAGAGTTGTATAAAGCAACAGAAACATGGAAACAAAAACACAAAAGGAACTAAGAAATAGTAATGGCAAATCTCCCAAACCTGGAAATTACCATCCATAAAATATCATAAAACTGTTCTGAAATTATAATACCAACTGAAAAAAACGTGGCATGCATTTCTTAAAAACACAGTACGCTAAACTCAGTGATTAAATCTTGATGCTTTAAAAGGGAATTTTATCTAATTTCCCTTCACCTAATCATCTGATCCATTGATTTCTCAGTTATATTGTTAAAAACTCATGCAGAAGAGTTTTAGTGTGACAGGTACTGAAACAGCAAAGGCCAGTGAAGCCATGGGGAGAATCCTCACTGAGGAAATTACTGCTCTCAATCCTACTTCAAACAATAATTATGAATTTGGAAAAGAAGATAAGCAGGATATTTGTCACATTCACCAAGGATATTAATATTGAGCAGGTGGTAATGCTCAATAAGCCAATCTCAGCAAAAGCTATAGGCAAAATACTGTAAGAAAAGGATATGAGCACACACGCTTGGGGAAATAAAATGGATAAATACAAGCACTCACACAGAGACACATCCAAGGCAGACTCAGAGGTGACAGGGATGAGTCACATCCACCCTGCCTGTGTTCAGGTTTGGTGTCCTTTAATCTCCAGGGACACCCAGCACAAGCACTTCACTTGTGAGAGATGATTTGAACACAACTCTCAACAAATCTCACCAGTTCTCGGAAGGCAGAAGGAAACAGAGCATTTAATGCCTTCTGGCCAGGGGGAAGGAGGGAGAATGCTGCTTACAAGTCCTGAGGAGACAAGCTAAGGGACTGAGGGCCCTGCATGACCTGAAGATCAAACTAAGCAAAGACAAATCATGACATTAATTCTAGCACAGGTGGGTATCAAACTGTTCATAGGTTGTTCGAACTCCTCACCCTCAGAGCCCCGAGGCCCATCAGACCCCAGCCAGGGAGTAAGAGGTTGTGTCAGAGCTCCCGGTGCCGTGGCAGAAGTGGCATGGGAAGCTCTGCTCCAGGATCAAAGCAGTATCCGTGCCACAATGGGATTCTTTGCTTTGTGCTAAAACTCCAAAAATCACAGAAAAATCAAGCAAAGAAATCCATCTCCATATGATGGAGCCAGACAGAAACATCCCTGAAATCCCCAAGTTTAAGTCATTTCAGAGCTTCATGTAAGACATCTTATAAAGAGAGCCAGGTGCTGCTGTCCCGCCCCCCGCCAGGAAACACCTTGGGGTGCCTTGGGCTGCAAGGTCTGAAGGAAAAGAGAATTCTGGATTCAAGGAGGGCTCTGGTTTCATTTCTGCAGCAGCATGCTCCCACCAGCAGGTGAGCTTCTGCCAGGTACAGGGGATTTATCATTTTGGTTCATATCTTTGGCTTTTCTTGAGGAGTTAGATCACAGAATACGTAAAAAAATTTAACAGGAATAACATTTTGAGAAATGTTTTAACATTTGAGAAATTATCTGCATTTCCATTTGTAGAGAAGAAGAACAAAATCCAAGCAAACAGCTATAATTTCTCCATGGGTTCAGTCCACATGGTTTATAAAATAACTAACAAACATAGTTTCATTCAATTACCCCTAAAACTTATTGAACTTAAGCATCTAAGGATATTTAAAATCAAAATTTGAATTTGAGACCATGTATTACAGCACAGAATTCATTCCACCATAAAAGACTTTCTACCCAGGGTGATTTCATTTTCTCTCTCTTACCTGGTATTAAATTCAAGCCCTAAGTGTGAAGTGTGTCTCCCATCGCTAACAGAAATGAACTGCAAACAGGTCCCTTCCACTTTGGTGTTAAAAAGCTAAAAGCTTCAAACAAAGGCAGCAGTCCCTGAGCAGCCCCCCAGGCTGGCTGCACACAGGGAATGGGGGTTTGGTTCCTTTCCAGGGACAAGGTCTTGGCACTGCCAAGCACAGGCTGAGAGCAGAGAATGTTCCTGGGCTGGAACGGCGAGCGGCAACCGCTGGCTCTGGCCCAGCTCCTCAAACCTGCCTTACACTGTCACTCCAATCTGCCAGCAGTTTATAGAGAAACTTGTAAGCTAAGAACACACAGTATGAATACCCCTCCCTCCCAAGAACCAGACGTGCTTTTATCTTGGACAGAGGCAAAAGGAAGAGAAATAGCAGAAAGAGAGGAAAAAAACCCAGCCCCACTAGTGAACTGGCTCATTAAGGAAAGCACAGTGACAGGTAAGTAATTCCTCTTTCCAGGCTCTGTCACAAAGGGAGAGATTAAACCAACCAACCACACAACCTCTGAAATGCTTTGGGCAGCCCTTCTCTTTTTCCCTCCTCTCTGATCATTTACTGTTCTTTTCATTCTGCAGGTTGCTGAAATAAACACCTCTCCTTCATTTCATTCCGTTACCAGACCTGGATGGAATTTTCCTTATTTTAGTAGTGAGGACACATGTGTCAGATAGAGAAGTTAAGATTTTACGAGTTTTCTATGGTATTAAACTTTATAATACTTAAATGCTTTCAGTTATATGTGGGATTGATTGTAAACATTATTAATAATTGTTATTAGGTACCAGAGGCTATTATAATTCTCCTTTTCCTTACCTTTCAAATTTATATTGTAATAGTTATACTGGGATTACGTCTGAGGTCTTACTCCTCTCATTTCTCTGCCCTGTGCTGCCAGACCATCCTTATGAGGGTTTGTGGACATCACTGCAGCCTTGCAGAGCACTCACAGTGCCATGGAGCAGTTTGAATCCCAAGCACCAAGCAGGTCTGGTCATACAGCCAGACACCAGTTAGAGCCCCAGGAAATGGAAATGGCAGCTGTACTTCAGCCAGGACTGCTCGAGTGCTCAGCCCACAGCACTAGAAACCAAAATTAGTTAAACCATCTTCAGCACTCACAAAGGAAAGCAATCAATAGCCATTTACAGAGCAAACATGATGACCATAGAGCATTTGCTTTCATAAAGAAAATCACAATCTTATTGACTGCTAAACCTTGAAATGCATAACACAAAACTTTGAACTGAATCGAGCCCTGTGTTTGTTTTGATCTCCAGCCATTTTTAGAAGAGAGTACTCGAGAATATTCAGCAGCTTTCATCTCTCAGACACTTGATGGAGCCTAAGGAGCATTAAGACTAAACCTTATCAAACACAACTACAAAACTGTGCATTGTCAATGTACTTCAGCCCACTCCTCTGGTCCATCCAGAAGAGGTCACTGGAACATCCATTTGACATTGACATTTATCTTTTTTTTTTCCTGTCAAGTAAATTCTGAATAAAGGACTTCACTATGGCATGAGTCTTTGAACATTTGTGTACCAAACAGCCACAAAAATCCCTGCATCCAAAAAATTCTTTTGAATGTTGGGGGCAAACAGAAGTTCCACAAAATCCTCACATAAGGCACAGAACTGAGCTGGGGCTGCATAAGTGAGGTTGAAAGACAGACCTGGAGATAACCAGTTAATTTCCTACATATGACTGTAATTAAAAAAAAAAAAAATTAAACACTGTGAATAAAATAAATTCTTGTGCATTTTACTTACAGTGCTCAGCTTACTACAGCAAATGAGGATGCGGCGCTCGTACAGCATACTGGCGTAGAGGTGCAGCATGTTGTTCACATCAACTGCTACAAAATACTCTGTCAGATTTCTCTGGGGAGAGAGAAGAAATCATTTTTGACTCATGATATTACAAAACCAAGTGTCCTTAACAAAAAAAAAAAAACAAACAACCCAAATAAAAAGCTAAACAAAAAATCCCCCAAACCCAAAGAGATTTCATGCTTCTATTGTGCTACAGCCAGTATGTGGCTTAACAAAAGAAAGCAGGATTTCATCTTATGGCAGAGGCCTTTCCAATCACAGTATCTCTCCCCAAAGTTTTGGGGAGCTGGGTCTTGGAGTAATAAAAGTGAGGATGTTTCACACACAGATTTTTGAATACAAGATACTTCTCTGAGAAAAAAAAATGTCCTGCCACTTTTATGGAGACTTCAAAGCTGCCTGATTAAGTACCAAAAACCCACATCCCAAAACTAAAAGCAGCTCTCAGAGGCCAAGTCTAATACAGCAAATTCAGTTGTGAGTTCAGCCTGTGCTAAAACAATTCTGACTGGTGGGAACACATCTGGGCATTTCACACACACAAACCCCATTGTCTGAACCGAACCCCTCACTGCAGGCACTCGGACATCCTGGGTGGGAGACAGAAGCACTTCACTGAGGAGGCTGAGGAAGATGGAAGGGAATTCTTTCTCTGACCACTTCACTTCTTAAAACATAGAAATTAAAGGGGAGAGGTGGAGGAAAAGGTAATACCCAAAAATGCTGAATTAGGGAATTTGCTTCCGAATAGCTTCTTACAGACATGAAAGGGTTGCTATAGGATAAAGACAGCCTTATACAAAAAGCACATGTGAGAGCAAAATTAGATTAGTCATGAATTCAAGTGCAATCTTAATCATCCTTAAATAAAAAAGTGCAGAAAAGCAAAAAGCAAATATGATTTAGAAACTTAAAGAAGCTCAACAAAGCCTATTAGCACTTTTGACAGATCCAAGATACTTGGCCTGAGAAGTCTGCCAAGATGCTTCATACTGTGCAAAAATATGTTCCCCAGCTTGCCATCCAAACACAAAGAACTGAAGGAAAATTAAGCATTGTATTTGGGAGACTTTGGTACCAGTATGTAGAGGGATAAAAACTGAGCTCATTATGGTTGGCTTCAAACATGTAAAATAAAACAATCACTCAGGTCTTTGTTACAGCAGAGCTGGAGCCACAGACAGGTACAGTCAAAGGAATAAAAAAAAAGCCAACACATTTTGCCAAAAACCTATTAAACTATCATGTACTTTTTCTGTATTTCTCATCCCATCTGTGCTGATTAACATGATATTTTTGTCTAAACATAAGCTGTCTTCTCTACGGCTCTTCTTCCCCCTCTCACCCACCCTTCCACCACGCCAAAACACAGCGCGTGACGACACAATTCCTGCTAATAGTGGGAATTAAAAGAATTTTTAAGGAGCCCTGAACTCCCTTTGATGCCATTCAACGCAGGGGCACAGCAAAAGCAGCACAGAATCCCTGCATCCAGCCCGAGGACGCAGCCCTGCTCCACACGGGTCTGTTTGTGAGGAAACAGCCTCCACTGCAAGAGGAAAATAGACATGGGGACTTGGTTTGTAATTGTTCTTTCATCGAGTTTATTGTGATGACATGACACACAAATGTACCTTCAGATGGAAAGATTTATAAGGTTTCAGTCTTGTCTGCTCTCTGAGATTTGCCAAGGACACCTGGGAACCATGTGGGCTGCATGGAAATGTATTGGTACTGAGGAGATTCACGTGTTCCCTCGAAGTTGTATTTATAAGAAAGCTGTCAGCTCTGAAGCTGAAATTGGGACTTACACATGTATTTTGAAAGACATGTCTCGTAAGTGACAAAACCATGAATGAGTTAAATAAATACAAATGAAAGCGTTCCAGTTTGCAGGGTAATTGTTATGTATTTTGCTTACTAGGATTTAAACCTTTCTTGGGGCAGTAAAAAGGGGGATTTTCAGAATAGGCATCCCCACTCCTCTCAAAATTCACCAAGAGAACTACAAAACTCCCTCACACTCATTTTAAAGTTCATTACCAAATCAATCATCCATCTGATCATTTGCTATCTACTATCAATAAACACACATTGACTACACTGACTTTGGAGATTAAAAATCACCTCTTCCACCATCATCTAAAGAGGAAGATGGACCGAGTGATACAAAAATACACTAGACATCATCCCCAAGAAAATGCCATCATTTCAGCCTGTTACCTTACCTGCTATTTGTGAAACACAACAGCTAGTACCAGGAACTTCAGTCTTGCACTGTATTTCCTGCAACCAACCCCATTTATTTCTGAAGTCACTCTGCATTTACACATCTGTCACACAACTCACACCTCCTGAAGCAGGGAGTGAGTTGCTGTTACAGAAAAGTGCCCATGCTAAATGGTTCTGTGACTCATTAAACATTGATCTGATACAAAGGCAGGTAACTCCAAGAGGTTTGTTACCATTCCAAACAGAGCTCTCTGCAGCTCTCCATTCATCATCACATCCAACTTTGAAGGTTGGCACCACTAAAACTTCTGCCAATATGGGCATTAAATGCAATTCCTGGTAAGATATGTGGAATTTTTAATAAATCAGGTCAATTGATTAAAATACAGCAGACTTCTCCCCATTTAATCTCCTTCTATTATTCCCTAATTTGCTCCATCTCTACAGGAAAGCTACTTTAACAGACAGATAAAAACCTCCTAAGAAATGACACAATCCTGGGATAGCGGAAGGTGTCGCTGCCCATGGCAGGAGGTGGCACTGGATGGGCTTTAAGGTCCCTTCCAACCAAATCATTCTGGGATTTTATGATTCTTAGGAATTAGGACAAGATTTGATGGCTGGTTTAGACTCAGGAATTGATTCCTGAATTACCCTCAGCATATCGTATTTGTACAAAAATAAAGCACCTCAGAAGAAAGAGCACATTTATTAAATTTCCTGTCAGGATATGTGTCAGTATGAAGAGTCTGCAACACAGAAAAACCAGCAACAGTGTTTTGAAAGGCAAACAAAAAGCCCCGAATGCTATCTGCTATACAAATCACCCACAAATGAGATGGAATGTCTTGATGATTCCCTTTTTTCTTTCATGCCATCAACCGAAGAATATGATGCTGAGACCGACCGCAAAATGCTCGGGAAAGAAAACTGAGATGTCAGGCACAGGAGTTGGGCTGAGACAGAGCAGGAGCACATTAAAGAGTCTTTAAGAGAAGCAAATGCCAGCATTGTCTCCCCACAGACTTATCATCTGGCTGGAAAGCTGAGCCAGGCTGGAACACACACGACTGCGCGAGGCTTAAAAAGTCTCCCAAGAAGTGGCTCGGAAGAGCCCAGGTGTGCCTGGCATTCTCAGCAGCCATGCAGCAAGCAGAGCGTTTTCCCTGCTCTCTCAGGTCATTCTTCCAGAGGGGTGGCAGTGAAGGATTAGCAGAGCTGCTGTTTTACCCACATCAATCTGTCCATCAGTACCTTGTCCTTCATACAGATCAGCTTTTAATCACACATGCAGACTATCAGCTCCTGAATGCTCAGTATTTTACAGTATAAAACCTATCCCAAACAGAGCAATATTTGTCATCTATGTAGCAGCTGACATTAAATGGAAACAATAAAGTGTGGGGTCCTCCCAAATACTCACATTTTCAGGTATACTGGGAAGCTCTCTGGTGTCAGGCACAGTAAAGTAAGAGTGCTACAAAAAGAGCAAATATTGATTATTTCAATAATGTCGAAAGCAATCTAAATGTATTGCCTGGTATTGGTATCAGCACTAACAGCAGTTGCTCAGCTAAATAAGAATGACAGAACATTCCTTACCAACTACCAGCCAGAGTTCCCTGTCCTGGATTCCACAGACTGTGTTCCCAGATCACAGGGGCAATAGGAAATGCAGTAAGATAGAAAGTATCAAATGCTCCTGGAAAATTACATTCCAGGTTTTTGTTCTTCAGAGCTGCTGCTACAGACAGACTCACAGCACTGTGTGATGCCAAGGAAACCCCAAGGCAGGCTGCAATTCAAGCTATCTTTCCCCAGCCCACGGCAGGATGGACTTCAGGGAGCAGCAGCAGGCAGGGCCTTGTCTAACTCAGCACCAGAGGGGTTCACTCCAGCCAAGGGGGAAGTTATGGAAATGTACTGGGAAATGCTTCCTAAGGTTCAATGCCTGCTTACCTGAGAAATACTGAAAAGTTCTAGGTCACTTTTATACACTCTAAAAGAACATTTTGAAAGACCATAGTGCTATCATATTTTCATAATCCATTGTATTGTTCAGTGTTGTTAACTGTCTGCATTCCAGAGCCCAGGTTCCCAGCCCAATCACGGATGACCTGCATGATCCTTGGTCAGGGCTTTGGAAAGAAGGTGACTTGTATACAATTAATAGAATTTTTAAGAGTTTCACAATTTGTTTCAGGGTTACTTATTAATTACTGGCTGAAGCCTGAAAGGCTGTTCCATCCTTGGCATAGCTCCACAAGTGGCACAATTCTCTTACACACAAATCTCAGCCATCTCAGTGCTTCCTGATCAGGCTGTAACCTGAAATAGCAGGCAGGGACCGCAGCTCCACTGAACAGAGACACGGAATGAGAAACACAAGCTTTCATTTCTGATGCATCACTAGTTTGGTTTGGTTGCAAAGATGCAATGCCAAGGCAGAGGAACAGCACTCAGAGCTGTATCACACAGAGGAACCTCGCTCCAACCCCGCAGTGGGCTCAGAAACAGCCAAAATAAAATCAGAAAAACACAGTCCCTGGGCTGGTTTTTCTATCCTTTATTGCTCCATTGCCCATGAAATGTCTGAGACAAGAGGAGACAGGCAGCATTCCTTGGAACCACTGGTATGAAAAAAACTAGAATATCCCCACTGCTTCTGGCCTTGGGACTCAGCTCATCCCCTAAACAGAAATGCTCCTCAAGAGGGATTTTCGAGGGCCTGGGGATGTGTCCAGGGCCAGCTGGGACCAGCAGGGCCACACAGCTGCTCCCTGGGCACTGCCAGCCTTGGGGGAAGCAAGGGGCATGAGCTGCTTCCTGCCAGAAAGTGCTTCAGGAGGAGTAAAGGAAATGCAAGGGAGACTTCCCAGGAGGGTCCACGTGAACTCTCAGCTGGCAACAGAAGCAAAGAGCATCTGCAGTGCTCACCACGGCCTGGAGCACAAGGCGTGCTGCAAAAATGAAGACAAAAACCCCAAAAGACTAAATTCAAAATACAATCCTATCAAATAAAAGCCCACATCTATACTGCCAGTGTGCTTTGCTTAATTTTCTCACAAAATATAAAAATGAAACAAATTCTTTTTTTGTGTGAGTTTTTTTTGAGATGGGGAGAAGGAAGAGGGGAAGAAACCACAAAATGTGATGAGCAGTTAATACTCCCCAGGCTGCTGTGACAGGTAAATGCCTGTTTGCTTCCCAGCCTGCTCCCCCTTCAAAGTCCCAGGGCCAGGAGCTGTGCAGAAGTGAGGGCAATAAATGTCCCGTGGTGCCCCTGACCTCCTGCAGGATATGGTGAGACATTCCCAAGGGAATACACACAGCCTTCCTCCAATCAACTGCATTTCAAAGACATCTGAGGTTAGGGAGCGGGAAGCAGAGGGCCCCCATTGTGAGAAGGGAATCTCACAGCTCCTCACAGCAAAACAACACCTGTGTACAAGCTCCAGGAGAGAGGATTGCTTTTGACATTCCTCTACTATGACATGGGATGAATATTAAACACCTTAGTTTACATCTCCCCCCAACACTTACCACTCCAAGATGAACAGAGGTTCCTGGCTCAGGGATGGTAAGTTTATGAAATGTTTCTAGGAGCTCACTCCTCTGACTATCCTGCAATGAGAAAGAGAATAAACCAGGAATACTGAGCTAGCGCTGTTGTCACCAGGTAAACTCCGAGGAAGAAGGGCAGGGTAGGCCAGAGGGGTGGGTAAATATTTTGCACTCCTACGATCAGTTCTACTTTTGCTGCCCATGACAAACTTGGATCAGACACCTGAGAGACTGCTGGGACTCTGCAATATGGGAACTGCAGAATTACAGGAACGGTGCTGAACACAGCTCAGGGAGTCAGGAAGGCCAGCACAGGTGACTGCAGGGACTTGGGTCAGATCCACAGCCACAGCCTTGCACTTTATCTTTTCCAAAAAGAAAATTAAATGTGTATTTATTTTTCAGAGGCACTTGCCAAGCTGAATATGATCTTCTGTATCACTGCATCATACAGATCAATAATTCACATGGTCATCTCTGATAGAAGCACTTCTTCAAACAGCTTCTTTCATCCTCTCACCCTCACTCATTTAATATTGGGATAGGAAAAGGAGGGTCAGTATTTTAGAATACCTGTCCTTTTGCTGAATAATCTGCCAAGACATTGAGCAGTTTATAAAAGACTTCAAACCATGGGAGGTAACTGAAAAAAAGGAAAGAACAAAAAAGAAAAGAGTTATTTTGGTTATTTTGGAATCCTAATACAAGAGGACTTTTAGAATTGAATAATCAGTATCTCAGTTTATAATTGTTTTAAAATCTCATTCCATCGCTGTATTTAGCCTGGCCCTTGCTTCAGTCAAACAGAAACTTCACCTTCAGTATATGCACTCAGCTTCCAAAAGAGAAGAAACACAATTAAAATGGAAACATGCAGAAAAATCACATCTTTTTCATTTACTTTACATCTCCATTCTACAATATAAGACAGTGAGGATGTTTCTTTTCACTGCAGCTTTGCAGGATCCCATGCCCTGTTTTCATGGCATAGTTCTTTATTTCAATCCTTTTCCCAGCACCAGTGAGGAATTTCCCTCGGCTGTGGCGAATGCAAAGCCAGTCAGAGATGCACTCCCTGATGCTCTTTAATCACAGCTGCTTTCTGAAACAAATGGATTCTATTTTGATATAGTTAGACAGGATTTAAAGTTTTTATAAAATATGACTACATCCTGACAGCTGTAAGGAATGGAGTGCCCTGTGGTCCCTGGCTGTGCAGCTCTGGTGATAAATGAGGTGAGAAGCTCTCTATGAGACAGACAAAGTGACTGGCACTCCATCATTAGCGTTTGTTTGAAGCCTGCAAATGCTACTGTAAAATGTAAGTAGCTTATCAAAATATACTGATAAGCAACTTAACTTTTCATGTTATACGACAGTATTATCGTTGAAATTAATATGCTCTAAACATCTTTACAAAGTGTGTATTCGAATAGAGCAGAAAGACAGACAATTACCACTTTAAACAGCATTTAAGTTTGACATTATATTGTAAACAATTCAGAAGGATTAGGTAGAAGATAAGTTTCTTTCTTTCTGTTTAGTTAAATAAACTTCAGCAGAGTTAAAAGCTATTACAAGAGTAACAAGAAATCCTCTCCAAACATATCTGCTAAGTAGAGATTAAGAACCTGGTAAACAAACCCGTGCAAGGCATCTGTCAAAGAGTTTGAGAAGACAGAAAAGCAGGAAGGCAGAAAGCTCCCTGGCAGTGGGAAACCAAAGCTGCTTCCACGGAGACACCATTAAAAGTTCTACCTAATCGCTCAGGGACTTGGCCAGAAAAATACATTTACAGAGTTAAAATGAGAATCCTTAAAACCATTATTGTGCTTCTGTGTATCATGTCTCGTAAAAGAGGAAAACTGAAGCCGGTTCCCCCAGGCCTCCAGCTCCTCAGGACCCAAGGGGACAGTGCTGAGCCCCCAAAGTGGGGGCAGGTCCTGTCAGGGCCATGTGCTGAGCTCCCTGCAGCTTCCAGGGGCTTGCTTTATTTACCTGCACACACCCAACCTGACCCAGCTGTAGGCTCCAGCCATGAGAATACTCCAGCACAAACCAATTTTATATTTTTTATTTGGCACATAGGAGAGAGCCTCTGTGATTCCAATAAAACCAGCCCAGATATGTCTCATATTCACACAATGTCAAACACCTGCAACCCCCCCAGAGAAACAGACACAGCCCCATTTCTGCTACACTTGTGACTCCCTGGCTTTCCCTTCTCTTCCCCAGTATCCTCTGGTGAACCTATTGTCCTTTTTTTAACATTCACTCCTCCTCCTTTTCCAAATGATGGGTTAGCATCTCATCATAACTGCTTCTTTTTCTATTTTGAGAATAACTTCCCATTTTGAGGACAGTGTTACAGTTTGGAATCTGAAGAAATGGGCTGGTATTTGAAGCAGAACTCATCCTTCCACAACACATGGGGATCTGTGTGGCTCTTGCTCAAGAGAGGGGCAAGACAAACGAAGACAAATCCACCACAAAATTGTATAAATTATGCAGACAATCTCAGTTCAGTTTTCACCCCCTCCATTGTCAAAACACAGTCCAGGATGTCTCAGCACAAAATTTCCAGATACATTAGACAGCTAATTTATCCTGCCATCTTCAATACTCTTACTTCATCACTTAATCCATGTGTTGACTACTCAAAAATAAAACAGTTCTGCTTTTATTAGATTAAACTGTATGACCAGTTAAAGTTAAAAAAAATCTAAAAAATCCCCCAAGAAATACAGTTATCTGAATTTGTTTCTAGATGTCTGCCAAAAGGAAAAAGGAAATAAATGTGGGTTTTTTCCTTATAGAAAGCAAATCCTCAAGGCAGCCTTTAAACACCCCTCCAAAAAAACACAGGCTGAGTTTATAACCCAAAATTTTCTGTACCGCGAGGACCTTAAGTAGCACAACTGGTAGCACTGCTGAAGATTTATAGCTTATGACTTGCTCATATTTAATTTGTAACCAAACACTTCCCCTTCCTCTTAAGCTACCTCAGAACTTTTGATTAACTCTTGTTTTCGCAGGTCAGAGGTTAAGCAAAGGAAGGGAAGCGCTCTGCAGTGAGATTGCCCAGAGCCCCGAGCAGCCCCTCCCAGCACCATCAAACCCCCAGGGACAGCACTGAGCCAGCAGGGCTGCAGCTCAAAGCCTCTGGGGAGCAGGAATCACATCCCCGTGAAGAGGGAAAAAAATAAAGGGGCAACCTGAAATTTCAGTTCCTTTTTTTTGGCTTTTTGCTTACTGTTAGAAAGGTAAATCTCAGCTTAATAAAGGAGAGATTTTTCAGTGTTATTTGTAGCAGGCAACCAGGAAGGAGAATGCAAGGGCAGGATACCCAACCTGTGAATGATGAATTCATCAAACCCAACTTCCAGGGAGCACTCCAGGCTTTGGGAACCTTGTCAGCAAGAACACTCCATGTTCCAGGGCAGCAGCAGCAAACCCCAGTGGCAAGGGGGACCTTTACAAATTATTTATGAAGATTGCTATTACCATAGCAACTGTTTATAAAACTAATGTTTAACATTGCCAGCTCCAAAATTCCATTTATTGGTGTGCTGACACCATGAAAAAGCAGAGGCAGCACTTGTGGAAGGGTACCTGTGCCACCTTTGGTTTCCTCTGGACCTGTGAAGTCCCACCCTGGCTCACAATCCCTGGAGCACCAGAATAGCTCCTGGGCCTGTAGAGGCTGAGCTGCACTCAGGCACAGCTCTCGTGTGAAATGAATGCGACTCAGTAACTAGTCTGACATCAACACGTATCACGCAGCATCTCCTCCTAGACTGAGTTGCAAGCACACATAACTTTTACTCCTTCCATTCACACAGATCAGAAGTGGAATTTTTAACACGTATTTATTTATAACACATACTATATATATTTTGATAACAGCATAACCAACTGCCATCTCCCTTGCAAAACAGAACAGTCATTTCCATTTTGCAGATGGGCACACTTCTCTGTGGTGACAGGCTTACAAAATCTGTCTGTATTAGCCAGGATTGGTTTCATGGAGTTCCCAAACCTTGACCTTTTTGCTCAGCACAATAATCTACAGTGACCTAGAACACAGAATACAGCCATGACGTCAGTTATTATATGAAATGTAGACACATCATCACTAACTTCACTGACAAAAGTCTAAGGAAGAGGAAATTCAGGCCAAATGCATCTTCTGCCAGCACTCCTCCAGCATTTGCCACTAAAACACCCAGCGCCTCAGTTCATGGACTCTGGAGAACAGACAATAAGAAATAATTCCCCCCCTCGTGCCCAGGTCCTTGGCTGTGGCAGTGATGCCACCAGGGAGCCCAGCAGGGTTATTATTAACATTATTCATTTTAATCTATGAACCCTGTGAAGGCTCCTGCTGAAGCAGAACACACTTTCTGACTCACAGTGCCTGTCAATTCCTGCAGGACAAAAGACAGATCCTCAGCAGGAGCTCAGAAGGATCTTTGTGGATAATCCCAACACTGTGCTTGAAAAAATGCAAGGATGGAAAACATATCAAAAATTACTCCAGTTTCTTGGTGACTTGTCATCTTAGGACTTCTTGCATTTAAGGCTAAAACTCTGCAATTTAAACTTAAACCCAATACTGCTTCTTTCCATCTTCCCATACCTGGCAACTAATGATTCTCTTTAGCATTACTTCTAATCATGGAATCACGTTCTATTTTAGGTTAGTAGTGGTTCTAATGATGAACTAAGTTATGTTTGCCAAGCCACAATGCTCTTCAGGAGTTCTATGCAAACATGATTTTAAATAGCAAAAACACATTATCAAAACACCTTTTCCTTCCCTTCATTAAAAGTATTCATTTCTCCTTTAAATTATTCATAAATTTCACTTTAATTTTTAACACTTAAGATGAAGTAAAATGACATTAAACTACAGATTTTTAAAACTAATTCCATTTCTCTGCTCAAGAGAGGGATCACTCTCCACATGCTATTATTTTCCTTGCAGGTATACACTATTAAATTCTTTTCCCCACCTTCACTTCCTTCCATCACCCAGTGTTTCCAGCATCTTTACGAAATGCATTTAAAGAACCAAGGCATCTCTAGGCTCATTTGGGAATTTCCACAGGGTAAATTCTCAGTTCAGCAGTTTCTGTGTTCCAGTGTCCTCCCTACGCCTCACGGACCTCAGCGTTATTCTCTGCTCTAGACTCAGTCTATTGACACCTTCTCACACTTAGGAGCTTCAGCACAGACACCCCAAATCTCCATAGCAACCCCTGTGTATGTGGGTGAGATGCAGCCTTACCTTCCACGGGAGCAGCCAACTGCTGCTTTGAACATCAGCTTTTTACTAATTTATTTCTTTCAAGTTTCCTGTGTGTCAGACCTGCCCCACTGCAAGTGCCCCTGCCAGTGCACAAAGCCAGCTGCACCCTTGCCTCTCCTTGCTCCCATAGGATTTCTCTTCTTCCTGCATTTCCCCCAATTTTGTAATAAACTTCCCTTTGATTATTACCCATGAGTGATCATTCCATGATTCAGTTTAAAGTTATGCCACTTAAGCATGACTCATGTGCATATTTTAGAAGTACTAAACCCCACAGAACTGGATCTCATCTTAGGGAGCATCTTAATAAATAATTGTCAACAGCAAGTGCT